TTTAGAGCAAGGGATACATTTTTGAGGGTATATCACTTTAGTACGTCAATTTTTATTTTTTCTTGCCCTTGCTTTGCTTCTCTTGTAAAAGAGAATTACATGATTTTTCTTCAAGTCTTGAGTGTTTTAAATGAGTAGTTCTGTCTCAGACAGAGAATAGAGAGTAGATCTTCAAGCAGTATTTCTCTCCCTCTAGGGTTTTTATACCGTTAATTTTGGGAACGAGGCAAGCAGCCCCACTTTGCGACGTGCTCACTATTGGGTACTGCTTTTTGACCTGAGCGTTTGTGAGCTGAGGACATCTCAGCTGCGCCTATTCGTAAAGCCTTCGTACGTGTACCACGGTAATCATTTTTCAGGGTTGATTATCAGGGTCTAATAATTTTAGTGTCAGGTAGTTTAGAATAATATCATTTTTTTAACCTGCAGTCCAGTGGTGGAGCATATGTGCTGCGTGTTTTGATAATATATTGTGATTTCTTTTTTTAAATATCTTGTTTTATTTGGCCCTCTGTGCACAGTTAATTAGGTTTCGTCATTACTGTGAGATTCTTTTCTTTTGTGTGGGTGGTCAGGCAAAACAAGTTCCGATTAATACCTCGGGGATTTGTGGCTTAATCCGTCTTAAGTCACTGGCGCTCTTAACCACCCCTAATCTTCACTTTATTGAGCTAGCGCATACATTTGCACTCCAGTCGATAGCCGTTTTGCATTGGCTGTCCCTTAGATTTCATTTATAATGTTTATTAATTCATTAATTAAATTAAGAAAAGGAAAGACGAATCAGACCACCATTTCCTCTCATTTATAAAAAAAAGACGAGGCAACTGCCAAGATATAGCCGAAATATAGCTGAGACATCCGAGATGTATAGTCGGTTATTCAAATATATTAGAAGGAGCCAAGCCTATATACTTCCTATATACTGAGTGACAAAAAAGGTAAACACCTACGTATGTTTATCAGAATTCAAGAATTTCTCACATATTGATGTATCTTGCCATAAACAACAACTGATAAAATGGTCAGGTTTTCCTGTTGAGTTTTTGTGGTGGCTGCGTGTATTGTTTGGTGATAAAGAAGCTTTCAGTTTTCATACATTTACTCGTACGGTATCAATTAAATGTTAGATTTCGTGTAGCTTATTGAGAAGCCTCTTTGAGATTGTTCAAAATGCATAGAGTGCGTAGAATTCACCAGCTGTCCCAGCTAAGTGACTTTGAGAGGGGTCGAATTGTCGGGTTGCGTGAAGCCGGTCTATCGATAAGAGAAGTTTCTAGGACGACCAACAAATCCTTATGCAGTATACTGCAGTGTGAACGAGCGTTGACTCAGGAAGGCCGAGGATAGCGAGCGAGGGGTTCTGGATGTCCCAAAGGGACCACAGAGCGACAAGACCGCCGGTTAAGACTTCTGGATCTGAGAGACAGCATGGAAGGATGGTTGATACGCGTACGGTATATCACCTAATACGACAGTTTGGCCTTTTTTCTTATCGCCCACATTGGGTGCTACCTCTCACAGCTGAAAATCGGCGTAACCATTTGCTGTGGTGTAGAGGAAGAATTCTATGGGACCGGGAATGGAAACAGGTGCAGCATGCACGATGGTCGGGCAAGAGTGGGCAGGCGACGTGGTGAAAGACATGACTCACAATTTGACAGAGGGCGTAACGTTCACCACACCGTGGGAGCTATGGTATCGGGTGGTATTGCTTATGGTAGCAGATCACCACTAATTTTCATCAGAGGCAATATGACAGCCCGACGCTATATTCGGAAGTAGTGGAGCCTCATCTTATTCCATACCTAAACACTATCCAAAACCCGATTTTTCCGCAAGATAATGCCAGACCGCATGTTGCCAGTGCATCGCTAGCCTTCATGGATCAACATCGCTTCAACCATTTACCTTAGCCACCATGATCGCCTGACCTATCTCCAATTGAACATGTCGGGGAAGTGATAGGTCGCAGCCTCTTGAATTTAATGAGTGTATAAGAAATCGCGGATCCTCAACACATTAATGATCCAGCTTCTGAAGTCAGTTGACGAATCACTCTGAAAATTTAATCATTTTACTAGTAAGGGATACTGAACATATATGTCAAAAATTATTAAAATCGGATAAACATACGTAAGTATATTTACATTGCATTGTTTGTCGCCGAAATCGCATAGTTTTACACAGTAATGATACATGCTGGTAGAAATATTACCTTCATTAGACTTGTGCTGTTTTTTGAAAATTATGTAAGAAGTATCGTTTTTTGAAATCGTCTAACACCACAATTGTCTGCGAACACTAACACTTTTAAAGAATAGAACACTAAAATATGAATTTAATGACAGACTCGTAAAAAAATTAACTTATGTCAAGTTTACTTACTCTACACACTATTAAAATAATGCAACAATTGAATCCTTGACTGTCTCCTTCAACTTGGTCTAAATTCGTTGGTTATTACCAACAAGGAACACGGTTAGATACACCAATCCAAGCAAATCAATGATGCGACGTTGCCTAGCACGAGCTGAATTGATTTAGTCCACTGTAAATGACCGTTCTGGATTGTCATATATTTTTTCCAAACCTGATATTATTCAATAAATGATTTAAATATTTGGCTTCGAAGTTTCCGTTTTTTGCACTCAATGGCAATTGTTGTATTCGGTGGGTTTCTTGCATTGCTAAAGTCAAACAATTATTGCAAATCGATGTTACCTAACCAAAGAGCAGAGAAATACTGTACCAACTTTGCAAACAAACTGAAAAAGTATGACGCCTCTGGGACAAAAGAAATACGTTCTTGAGAACGATTTTGTATAGCTTCCATACCATCAAATACTTTAGGCGAGGAATCTAAACAGCTAGTATTAAGTTTATAGTTATTCATTTCACTTATACTCTCTCCATATGTGGCTTAATTTATCAGCTATATCAAGAGAAGTTGATGGAACCTTGCTATAATGAGCCAAAGTCAATCTACCTACATACTGTACTATACTAAGCTAAATTATTTTAATTCCTATCGTTGTATCATTGCCTTCCTTGAACACTTGGATTCCATCTTTTTAGATTTCTCACCGATCTTATTGTTAAACATTAGACCATTAAAGATTGTAATGTTTATTAATAAGCCACGTCCAGGTGACGTGAGACCAAAGTATACAGATGACAAAAAGTAGGGCAACTTCGCGGTTAAATAAGTATACTTCAAGGCATCCAAATAGGTTATAAGGAGCGAAGCCTATATGCTCACATTGCATTGTTCGCCAAAATTGCGTAGGTTTATTGCATACTTTTGACTTATTTTTTGTCTACCAATGCCTACCAAAGTAATAGCGTTGTATCAACATAATAGTAATACTCACCGGTGGAAATAACTACCTTCATTATGCATGTGCCGCTCTTTGCAAATTATACCATTAGTTCCATGTCTTGAGATCGTCTAGCACCACAATTATCTGCAAACACCAGCACTTTTAAAAAATAATAATAAAGCTACGAATGAACTGTCAAAAAATTGACTTATGTCAATTGCACTTTGATCCTCACTACAGACTACATCCGACTCCCGACTATGAGGCAACTAAAGGCTGTCACCTTACGTCATGAGCTATATTACTGATAATTTTCGTCTATAGGCGGAGCTTTTGGCTCTGGAAATAATTCAGTTTCAAATCGATCGCATCTAGGAAATGTTTGCATATTCTAGAACATCTGTATTTTAAATTTCCATCAACATTTTTTTTATTTCAGCACTTGTCTGTTCTTTGAAAGGTCGACGTTCTCAATTCTGACATTTTTACTTAACTTGCTATTTTTATATGAGCGCATGGTCGTAACACTTCCTCAATTCTAAAATAAACAAGCATGTATCAACATAAAAGCTCCCCTATACTCACATTAAAAACAAAAGTTAAAGTTAAAGTCTTATTTTAAACGTGTATTGGTTTGTTTCAGCTTTATAAATAAGTACCTACTTAATATTTGAAAACGGCTGAATTTTAGATAAATATTCCATTTAAAAAACAAATAAGTACGAATAATCAGAAAAATGGTTGATAAAAGTTTATTTGCAAAAAAATATATATATTTATATATACATATATTCTCTAAAATATTTAAATGCAAACATTTAATAGATGGATTCAACTTTAAATATGTTTTATTTCATTTGTATGAAGGATCTACACGGTGAGTTTTTACATGCTTCTATTATATTATTTTTTCAACTTAACCTGTTTGTATGCTAGCATGAAATTAATATGTATGTATTTGTGGGACAAATCTTGGACCTGAATTTTAAACTATTTAGCCCTAACTGCTATAAGCTTTAGCGAGTCGGTAATAGGCTTCTAGGGCTCGACGGCCAGGGTAGATATTTTAAGAATCAATAAAGGCAGAGGACTCCTTCGGCTGGAGGTACCATCTGGCCGAAGCTATCCGTCCCTAGAGGAAACATTTCGTTTCTGAGCAAATTGTCGGCACCGTCCAAAAAATACGAAAATGAAACTTTTTTCTGTGAGTGAATTTATTGCTACTAGTTTGTATACTTTGGTGAACTGAGCACCGCATTCAGATTTCTTTTGGTTCGAGAGCGCAGTCTGCGTAAGAACATCGAGCCGCATACTAGCTGAGTGAAGAGGCTGACACTTGGTATTTGGCAACCGGATCTTGCTTGTGCTGTAGCCGCGGGTTAATGATGGCGTCCAAGGATGTGTTGGTTCTTTTGTTTTTGTGTTATACTGGTGTTGTGAGTATTTCTGTAAGTACCACCATCCGGAGGCGTTCTTAGAACGCTTCCTGTCTATGCTGTTCTTTGTGCGTTGTGTAATTATTTCTATCAGTTGAATAAAAAAGTAAACCCTTTAACTAGCTGTAGTTTCCTCGAATTGGAGTGAATAGAAGCACCAAATACTTGCGTTTGGTTACTAATAATAATCAAAGAGAGCTAAAGGTTTATTCGCAACTGTATCTATATTTAGACAAGAAAAATGATGTTTACAAACAGTTAGTAGTTGTTCCGTCCAACGCATTCTCCAAAGGTATTGCAACAGTTCCCACATTGACCGCACATAATAAAAAACCCGTGTTCGACCCGGGTTCTATCGAATTTTTATTACTGGGAGATAACTTTCAAAAACTAATGGAACATACTTTGTGGCGTCTGGTGAAGCTATTCATGTAGGGTTGATTTCTTTTACCTGACAAATAGTTATATAGCGAGAGCCCCTCGTATATCTCCATAATTTGTGTACTTATCTCTTATCTTTATAAACAACCCCATATTATAAATTCTTGTTTGTGCCCTTTAGGCTTTACCTCAGCTGTTACTTTTGGTTACATCTATTAGTCGATCGCTTGTAAGCTCACGTAGTCTTAGGTTCGATAACAAAACTATTGTTGCCTGAAACGATACTTGTACTTTAAGTGAATAAAGTGTACCCAATCGACTGTACAGTCTGGATCAGAACTCAGAAGAGGACCTCCAGGTTGATCTTAAACATCTACTTCTGGAACCGACAAAGACTAGGAAAACCAGGACCATCCCAAAGACGAAGATTGACGCAAGAGTGCAGTGTCTTCAAGTCTGAAGGTAATTCAAGTCGAAATTTCCTTGTCTTTTCTCCTACCTTTTTTTAAATTAAGATTTTTGGTGCATTTTTGTAAAATTTAATTTTGCTGAAGATTGCCCGCAATATTTAGTATAAGTCAGTTTCTTGTTCAAAAGCTACATTTTTGGATGAAACATAATTTAGGTACACTTCTCGAAAGCTACAGTTTCGATCTAGATAAAAAATTATTTTAAGTAACTTTTCATATAATTATAAGGCTTAGATGAATTTTACTCATAAATACACATACATCAAACTGCATTACATTTTTATGTTTCTGGCAGTTTCATATTTTTGACATTTTCACATTTTTTACGAACTTCAATAGACCCACAACTTTAATTTTCTCATACACCCACATTATATACTTTTATGCAAGATTCTAACTCAGCTTTATATACTATCACAAATTTATTAGAAAACATGTCTCTTAATAACAGTACAATCACCGTTCCAAGTATGCCCGCCGCAAAAGCAATTGTCGATTTTCTGCCATATTTTGATGGTGATACTCAACAACTAGAATCATTAATTTTTTGATGTGAAAAGTTGTATAATACATACGGTAGATCAAACGATGTTACCTTGAACGATTTCGTTTTCAATGTAATCTGTTCCAAACTGAAAGGTAACGTTTACAACTTTTTGATGTGTAGACCAGACATCACTACTTGGCCCCAAATTAAGAATGCGCTAAGAGCATTTTGGCGACAAGATCGACAGGCAAACTCTCACTAGAGAATTTTTGCAATTCATAAAATTTAGGAATGAAACTATTTTAGAATTTCTAGAAAGGTTAAAATTAATAAAATCCAGAGAATCCAAACCGATCCTTCCCTTACTCCCGACCAAAAGGTGCTACTTATTAGCCAAAACGAATTGAATGCACTCGACGTATTGAGCGCGAACTGTGACGATAGACAAGCAACTAGACAGATTAAGAATAATTATTTTAGCTCATCCGGACCCCCTAGTTTTGTTTCACAAGAGCTTTATCACACAGAGCATCCCCAATCTCAGTCATCACAATATATTCCACAATATTATTCTCAATATCCCGAACAAGATAAATATCCATCTCACAGCAGCCAAGAATATTATCCAGAAACCTTTAATTACTACCCAGATAATTCCCATAACTCTCAAAATCAAAATTTTCGAGAAGCCGATCCTACGACAGATTTCAGATAGACCTAAACAACATTAATTTAGCCAACTCCCTTCCATATGTTCAACTCAAAGAAATCGCAGTAAAGTTACTTGCACTTGCACAAATACCAGTCAATTCAAAGTTTCAATTTCCCTACTCCAAGAATTAGGTATTTCTGATGAATTCGAATCTATTCTTTTCCCATTTCATGAATACTTCGACAGAATGATTGGAATTCGAGAGAGAGAGAAAACTAGGATTGACAATGGATCTCGAAAATCATTTGCTTAGAAGTCCCTCACTCCAAATTCCATTTCAGTTTAGAACCGATTTCGAAACTCAGAAAATGGAAATTATTATTATCGCAAAAAAATTAAAACAGAAATTATTTTAGATTCTGTTCTTTATAGGAATGGCGAAGTTGAATTTCCCAAAGTCAAGGATCAGAAAGCCACCTTAGAAATCAAAAATAATACCAATTATTCTCAAATTTTCGTCTTAGATCAGAACTTCCTCCAAAATTTTGGAACCATTTTTAATCAAAACGATTACGAACTTTTTTCTATAGAAAATCATCCAAGTAAAGCCACCCCTAACAATTCGTCTCCTGTTCCTTTCGATGCTCTTCGAACTCAACATTTAAACAAGGATTCAGAAAAGTTATTTAAAAATTTTCCAGTATTTTCCATTCCGAAAACTGTCCCCTCACCTTCACTAGTAAAGTTAAGCATCAGATTGAAACTGCCGACGATATCCTCATTCATACCAAGTCATATACATACCCCTATGTCCACAAACAGGAAATGTCCAAACAGATCGAAAAAATGTTTAACGATGGCAAAGCAAAGTCCATGGAGCCCCCCATACGGATTGTCCCAAAGAAAATCGATGCCAGTGGCAACCAAAAATGCAGAATTGTTGTCGACTACAGGAAACTTATTGAAAAAACCATAGATGACCGGTATCCCGTACTGACATCACTGACATTCTTGAAAAACTTGGACTTTGCAGCTATTTCATAACCCTTGATCTCACCTCTGGTTTCCATCAAATTGAAATTCATCTCGACTCAAGCCCTAAAACAGCTCTTAATGTCGAAAATGGACATTACGAGTTTGTTAGATTAGCTTTTGGCTTAAAAAATTCCCCCAGTACATTCCAAAGAGTAATGGACGATTTACTGAAAGACCTTCAAGGAAAAGTATGTCTCGTTAATATGGATGATATAATTATCTTTTTCAGCAGCCTCCAAGAACACATATCTAATATTAGAAAAGTGTTTAACAAGCTTATGGAAGCAGGGTTAAAAATTTAATTAGACAAATGTGATTTTTTGGGCAAATCTGTTGAATTTCTGGGACACGTTGTGATTCCCGAAGGAAAAAGCCCAACCCAAAAAAGATTGAAGAAATAGAGAAATTCCCTATTCCCAGAACTGTCAAAGAGATTAAATCTTTTTCAGGACTCATTAGCTACTATAGAAAATTTATTAACAATTTTGCTCATTTAGAGAAACCCCTTACACAATGCTTAAAGAAAAACGTGAAAATTCAGCATACCCCAGAATTCATCAAATGTTGAGACTTGTAAATACAGTTTGATGAACGACCCTATTTTGCAGTATCCCAATTTCACGGAGCCGTTCAAGATAACAACAGATGCTTCGAACGTTGCTATTGGCGCTGTTCTTTCGCAAGGTCCAATAGGCAAAGACCTCTCCATTGTATATGCAAGCAGTACTCCAGCGGAATGCAATTACTCTACGACCCAAAAGGAACTACTAGCTATAGTTTGTGCAGTATTTCCGTCCATATGTTTTTGGCACTAAATTTAACATAACTACTGATCACAAACCACTGCAATGGCTGTTTTCCATCAAAGAACCTAGTTATATGCTCGTCAGATGGCGCTTGAAACTAGAGCAGTATGATTATAACATTATCTACAAAAAAGGCAGTATTAATACTAATGCCAATGCCCTATCCCGAGTTGAAATTCACCACCTTGTTGAAGTATAGTAGTGGACTGTATATTTTTCTTGATTTTATTGGTTTTTTCAGTGCTTGCGAGTATCTATAGTATTTTTACAAAATTATTAGACGGTGGCATGTGTCGACGCTCCGTCGGCTTCGTCGTTATTCTTCGTTTTGGAGGCTGCACTTACGATAGTCTTACGTCTGGTCTCGGGAGTTGCCACGTTGTGCAATATACAGCGGTAGTTCGGGAAAGGAGGTCAACATAACTTTCCGCCTTGAAGGACCTGGCCTTCAACATTCTAATCGTTTGATGGGTAGAGGACACAGTTTTGAAAATGCCCTCTGAACTTCACCATTCTGTGTCTTCAATTTTGCGATCCGAGGTACACCACTATCGTCGCTGGAGACAGACAACACTCGTCCAAGTTTCCATTTCATTGGTGGGATATTGTCTTGTTTGAGTAAAACTAATTAGTATTCCTAGTTCCAGCTTGCGATGGTCATCGGTGGTCTACTTTCTCCTACGTTGCATCTCTGTCACGTATTCTACACTCCATCGTTTCCAAAAATGTTGCTTAGCCCGTTGAACCTTTTGGAACTGTGACAGTTTGGATTGCCGTATATGCGTTACGTCAGAATCAGGCATTTCGTTTGTTGTCATTCCCAGGATGAAGTGAGCCGGGGTTAAATGGAGTAGGTCATCAGGGTTGGTGGACAAGGGTGACATGGGTCGCGAGTTCAATATCGCTTCTATTTGAACAAGTATGGTATACAACTCTTCAAAACTAAAATGATGTTCACCATCTTAAATGGTGTTTCTTTGATTTTATTTCTGCTTCCCACAGGCCTCAAAAATGCGACGAATGCGCGGGAATAAACTGCCAATGGACTACCTCTTTAAAAAATTCTTCGCGAAGCGTCCTTTTGTTTCTTTCTAAAAAGGCACCTACGAAATTCTTCTCATTATCGGACCAAATTTGATGAGGTTTTCTTCTTCTAGATACAAAGCGTCTTAAGGACAAGATGAAGGATTCCGTGAACAAATCTGTCAATAACTCAAATTGCACGGCTTTTGTACAAAAACAAATGTAACATTTCACTAATTTTGCACCGTGTACCTTTTTGTCTTTCATGAGCATCGGAGCCGCAAAATCTACTCCAGTAATTTCAATTGGATATTTTCCTTCAAACCTGGCTTTTGGCAAATTTCCCACGATAGGGTTTGAAATTTTGGCATTATATCTAAAACACAGAACACATTTTTTTATCACGTGCTTAGCCAAACCTTTTCCGGAAATCACCCAAAATTTTTCTCGGAGGGACGCCAGCAATGCTTGTGGATCTACATGATATAATCGAAAGTGTTCTCTTTCAAATATTATTTTTGTTAAATTATGTTTTTGAGACAAAATTATTGGATGCCGCTTGTCATAATTATAAGCACTGTTCATTACTCTGCCTCCAGCACGCATGACTTTACTTTCATCTAGTAATGAGTTAAGTATTAAGAGCTTGCTTTTCTTATCAACTTTATTTTTGGAGTCTAAATCACATATTTCTTGTGCAAAACATGCTTTCTGTGCACATTTAATCGGGCACGTGAAAGCATTATCAATTTCCTTCAGTGTAAGAATAGCTTTAACTCTTTTTTCCTTATTCATGGAAGAATTTTTTACAAATCGAAACATATGCGCAACAACATGCTTTACGTTTCTTTAAGCTTGAAAAATCATCAAACTGAAAAGAGCCTGTGTGTACTGATAGAAAGTGCTTAATTTTCTCTTTCAGTTCAGGTAAGTTATCTTCAGGTAAGTTTCTCGCGTTTTGCTCTCATTGAGGCCATTCAGACTTATCATTCATTAGAAAGATAGGTCCTTCCCACTACAAACTATTCACCATTAAATTATGCTGGTACATTCCGCGAGATATAATATCAGCAGGATTCACTTTTGTTGGCACGTGTCGCCACTGACATAATTTTTGAGTTTCTAAATTTTGTATTTCGGATACTCTATTTGCCACAAAAGTCTTTGACAGATTTGGTGTGGTTTTGAGCCACCCGAGTACTACCGTAGAATCCGTCCAGCAGTATACATTATCAAATTTGATTTATGTCGAACTCACCACTTTGTGAACTAACTTAGCCAAAATTAATGCACCGCATAGTTCTAACCTTGGAATGCTAATTGTTTTTAGCGGAGCCACCCTTGACTTCGCGCAGAGGAAAGCAACGTGAATTTCTTCATTTGTCTATGGACTTCGAAGTTGAGTCATTTATTTTAACAGTGAGTAGATCTGATCAAAAGAAATGTTTTTTCCTTTACTATTTTTCTGGTAAAATTAAAGTAACAAAGTTATAGCCCTTTGGAAGTTTGAGTACCGCCCTGTCTCAATAATAATATTATGTGCTCGTGTTTGACAACAACGGATATAATCCGCCTTATCGGTTCATCGCATCGGAAACAAAAAAGCGAAAGAATTTGGAACGATGTTTTTACAATTGTTTTATTCAGTTCAGTTATACATACAGTCAGTGTCGTCAGTCGGTAACGCGTGTGAATAGTGTCTGTTGCGTGGCTCAAACGAAATAAAAAATGGCACATGTTTATGCGGATCGGTTTCCCAATCGAGTGCAACCAACCCCTCGTGCCTTTGTTAATGTAGTACAACGGGCTCATGAATCAGGTGACTTAAGACCTCACAGGGGACCTCACGATCAAATACAGGTCCGCACTAAAATACTTGTCGGGAGGATACTTTATAAAACAAGGTAAAAATTTTTTTTTTATTTTTTTTTTATTTTTACACACATATTTTGGTTTATCTTCCTTCTACAATCATTATCTGAAAATTAATGACTCAACTTCAAAGTCACCCTGTATATTGCTGCTCCGTAAGCTTTTGCACTTGCGTCGGAAAATCCTTGCAGTTCAACCTTCACGGCATCATCACAAACAACCTTACGATCAATTCTCAATTTATTTAATTCCTTTAATCTATTTTTCAATTTAAGCCATTCTTTTTCTAATACTGGCGATACTGCTGTGTCCCATTCAATCTTTTCTAACCATAGTTTCTGAAGCAATACTTTAGCTATGACAACACATGGACTGATTAATCCCATGGGATCAAACAACTGACATATGACTGACAAAATTGACCGTATTGTGACTTCTTTATCACCGTCGCGCAGTCATACTTCGAAAATGAACGTATCACATTTTTTGTTCCAAGATAGACCTAGAGCTTTAAAGCATTCTGTTCCATTTATCACCAACGGAAGTGGAGACATTCATTTTTCGCAAAATCTCATCATTATTGGAACTCTACTTTCGTAACTCGAATCCTTCGCTTTTCAAAATTTAAAAAATCATCGCTGCCCAATTTGACCACACTATTAATGGTATTCACATCCATTAGCATGTTATCGACGTAGAAACAATTCATGATTATTTCAGATGCTTCTGGATTTGAAAGTTGGTGTTGTATAGCTTATTCTTTGATGCACCTTGTAGCCCGATATGGCGCGGATTTTGTTCCGTATATTTCTGTTTTGAGTTCATAAGTATCTAAAGTCAGAGAAGGTTCATATCTCCATAAACTACGCTGGAAGCATTGTTCCTGTTTCTCAATTAAGATTTGTCGATACATTTTTTCGACATCTCCACACAGAACAAAACGGTAAGATCTGAACCTCAAAATGATTGATATCAAATCATTTTGCACGACTGGCCCTAACATTTGTAAGTTATTTAGCGAATTATTGATGGCGCAGACGCATCAAAAACTACTCTCAACTTAGCTGTTAAACTATTTTCACGTAAAACGCCATGATGAGGCATATAATAAACGTTTCCGGCATAACTTACTTCTTCTATCTTTTACATATGACCCAGAGTTTGGCATTCTAACATAAATGCATTATTATACATATCTTTAAACTGAGGGTTTGACTCTAGCTTCTTTTCTAAGCTCAAAAACCTTTTTTTTTCTGCCTGTTCTCGGGAGTCGCCGAGTTTGTTTGTATCATCCTTAAAAGGGATAAACACACTAAAACGACCATCATCATTTTGTAGCGTGGTTTTACTAAAGTGTTCTTCCAACATAGTCTCTTCGTAGGAAAGCGGACTATCGCAACTGATTTCCTCGCTCTCCCAAAACCGCGTTAATTGTAGTTGGATATCTTTATTCAACGAAAAATTTATTAGTCTTATTGTAGCAAGCCACAGCATGATTTGGCACATTACCTGACACTATCCAACCTAAACGTGTACGCTGTAATATGGGCAAGCCCGGCCCTAGCTTCGTGTGACCGATGCATAATAAATCGTAAAACAAGTCAGCACCTATTAACATAGAGACCTTGGCTGGAACATTGAAATCTGTATCCGCTAACGCTGTATCTTTTGGAATTCTCAATTTCTCAATATCAACAGGAACGACAAAACAATTTACACTGCACAAGCAGATTGTTTGAATTCTTGCACTGTTGCCAAGTTACTTCTTAAAGTTTCTTTGTGCACAAGAACATGGTGTTTGAAATTGCACTTTTTACATGTATTTGCCCTACACACTACTAAAATGTCCGGGTTTCAGGCAATTCAAACACAGGCATAATTGTTTGGCTTTGTAAATTCTTTCGTTGACGCTTAATTTATTAAAACCTGAAAACCAGTGGTTTTTCTCACACACACAACACAAGATATATTTGCAGATAATAAACCCCTTTGTTTTTCAGCCTTTTTTTTGACCTTTGGATTCATTTGCTTGCAGAAAATCAGCACGATCAATCAAGAATTCTCTGTTTTTCAATAGTAGGTACCCTTATTTTTTTATTTTGTTTTTCCCAGTCCTGATTAGTTACCTTTGGTAATTTGGACGTCACTACAAAAATTATTAATGCATCCCAATTATCTATTGGTTGTCCAAGCTGTACGATTGATCTGAGATGTTTAGACAGTGTCTATTAATTTTCAGTGTTCAGATTACGATTCCCTCGTGATCTTTTCTATATTAAAAATACCTTGAATGTGGTGATGCAGAAGCACCTTTTTATATATTTCTTTGAGGGCCTTATATGCGTTTTGATAGTTGAAGCTAGTGAATTCTAAAGAAACCAAAACATTTGCGGCATCACCGACTAAGGGTGCACGCAGGTAATGAAACCTTTGGATATCACTGATTTGCTCATTGAGATGGATGAGAGATTCGGAAGTATCTCTATACTAACCATTTATCGGAATGCCCATCAAACATGCGAATTGGCATTTGCATTCGTCTGACTTTGATTCGAACCACCAGACTTAACACTAGTGATACTTTCTACAGCTGAGAATTTTCTTGATAATGTTTGAACCTGGCCAAACATCTGTCGTACTTGTTTCCAAATTCAATTTGTTCTTCAAACAGTTCAGGTTCCTCTGATAAGGATTCAATTTGACATTGTACCCCCGCGAACTCGTCCCACAAAAGAGGCATACGGACATACTTTTTGTTTTAGCTCTGCAAATTCTAATTATCCCATACTTACTTGAACATCATCTTCAAATGTATTTAAAGCCTTTACAAAATGCGTCAATATAAATTTTACTGATCCTCTCTTTTTTATCAAAATTCTGAGCAATTGACCGTCATCCACAGTATCATGTTGTTCGGCCATCTTTGAATTAGGATAGGAATGCGGTATAACACTAGGAACGACTCACAGGGTATCTCCCACGATGTCCTCCAGGTGCTTGGTCAGTGCCGGCGGCGGCAATCACCAGATTTCTCCAAACGGCACGGAACCAAGTCTTTTGCAGAGAGTCTTCTGCACAGTACAATTAAATATCTATCCGATCCACGATACGGCTCGATTTGGACCAATTTATGTTGAAGTCTAGTAGTGGACCGTATATTTTTCTTGATTTTATTGGTTTTTACAATCCTTGCGAGTATCTATAGTATTTTAACAAAATTATTAGACGGAGGCGTGTGTCGATGCTCCGTCGGCTTCCTCGTTATCCTTTATTATGGCGGCTGCCGCAGTGTTGTCAGACGATAATTTTTTTTCTCCCTAGATATTTAGCCAAAATTTCCCTAGATTTCCCTAACAAGTTAAAAAAACATGTTTAGTTTATAATTCCTTTTATATATTTAATATTTATCTTAATATTATTTGTAATTTGGGGTAGGAGTATTGATAAATAAATGCAAACAAATTTGTTACGTATAATTAGTTTAATTAACGTAACAGGTATTTCTTAAAATATATAATATAAACTAAAATACATGATAACTTAAGTATGCATATTATCTAAAATATAAAAAAAATATTCGAATAAATAGCGAACGAACGAAGATAGAATAACATAAAATATTTTGTTTTTACGAAATCAATAAAGCAAAATAATCAAAAGCAGGTATTATAATCTAATGTTGAGTTTTATTGTACATTGACGAATCCATTCTTCTAAACAAATCATTAGGGATGCTAAAGTTGTAGCAACTGTCATTTTTCAATAAAACTTTGGTATGTAAAATTCCACTTAAACTTACAGTCGATAATTTATTTCTTATTTTAGTTTTGTTTAGATTTATTTGGGAAAATATCGTTTCGACATTTGCACTTGAATGTGGCAAACTAAACAGATTAAACACAAAATTAGTTAAGGTTGGAAACATAAGAGAATCGTCACCAGATTTTAATGTTGAAATTTTTTCCCAATGTTCTTGTTACGCTTAAATTTGTATATGCACTTAAATCAAGATTTCTTAGTTATCGCCATTCTTTGACTATTTCATTTACGTTATCAGTTGTCAAGTTGGGAAAATGGAAAACTAAAAGCCTGTTTTTTGCTATTACTGCATCTGGTGGTATAAGTGACATTATGTTTTAGGGTAGCGATAGTTTTGCTTTTATTATCAAATCTTTTATAAATTTGAAAACAACTTTCTATTAAAAATTCTCAACACCTCTTTCTGGAGTCAAATAATTCTGCATCATTCAGTTTATGTTCATTATTGCTTATAGCACCTGTTACGTAGACACCTAAATAAATGTTTTCTATTTTCACTAAATTATGAGGATTTTTATATTCTACTTTTTCAATCAAAGTTTTATCTAAATAATCCTTTTTCATGTAACAATCCAAAATTGTTCTTAACACATGTTCAACTCGTTTATATAAAATGTGTATTTTAATATTTTCGAATTGCATTTCTAAATTTAATTCCTTAAAGAACGGCAGCACAAAGTTTAAAAAATCTAAATACAATATGGTAGATAAGAAAATTTAAGATATTTTGTGCTTGAATGTCATTTTTATTGTAGCACTGATCTGTAAAATATAATTTTAAAGCATCATATTGCTCAAGTATTCCTTTTACAACAGGCAATACACACAACCACTTTGTTTAAGAGGGTTGTAAAATTTTATGAGGTTTTACTGCTACAAACTCCTGAAATTCTGCAAATTCAGTTTGTCTTTTAAAACTGTATTGTAAATAAGTATGAACATATCTATCCATTTGTTTGATATCATCTGGTAATTTAGCACAAACATAATTAACAGATAAACTAAATGAATGGCAGACACATTTCATAATGAATAAATTAGGAATATCGGCTTTTAGTTTGGTGCCTATTAGATTTTCTTTATAATTAATATTACATTTAAAAAAATAATTTACAATAGTGTTGTAATGTCCTTCTGCCGTTGCATCTGCTACAGGCAATATACCAAAGAACAAGTCTAATTTTATGTTCATAAAAAATAGGTGCCACTAAATCCAAATGTTTAATTGTATGAATGAATCAGCAATTAATGAAAATTTATTTGTTTGTAATAAATTAATAGAATTTTTAAAACTGTACTGCCCTAAAACATTATTGACAATAGCTGTAGCTTTGGTGCGAGAGCATGTGAAATTTTTAGCAATTTCTGAATCGTCAAATGATATTCTAATAATTTCTGATAAATGGTTTAAAGTATTAAATGAAATGTTATGTTCAGCTGCATATGTTGCAATTCGAATTTCAACAGTTTTGAATTTGTTATTTAAAGATATTTTTTCCATATAAGATGTCATATCAGTCAAAGTTTTGTGTGTGTGTAATGATTTTACCAATTTGGTGTGTTGTTTTCCTGAAGAATGTTTCTGGATTTCGGATTTGTCACATAAAATCTTTATTGCATGCCTTGCAGAATGCATAATTGGACCCTTTCTTGCTGCTCCTCAGCCAACCTTTAAATTCAGGTACATTTCTAGTATAGGACTTTATGATTCTTTCCTTTTTTCTTGTGTCCAGATCCTTCGGAAGAAGACGGTGAGCTTTCCAATTCATCAGCATGTTTAGACGTTGATGGTTAAGGTGTAATTGAGGACATGATGTTAAATCTGTAATTATAAAGAAACAATAGCAAACAAATTTAGAAGTTTGGTTTAAAATACATAGATCATAGATATACATATTATAATATGTCTAAGATATCAATATTTCATTAATTTATAGAAATATTTTTTCATTAACTTTAATACTAAATAATTAATTTCCGAGTAAACTCCGAAGAACCTCCCCGATCAAGTATAATAATTGGAAAAGTAAATATTTTATAATAAATAAATATGTACTTACCTATGGCAAATAACTTCAATGTCGAAAAACTTAAATGATTATTCGTTAATAATTTTAGAGCACACACTAAAAACAATAGTTATTCTAAGTCACAGTTAGCACAGGGCACAATCCGTACAATTACATAAACAGCAGGAAATGCAACAGAAACCACCTAGCGGTTTATATATTATATTAGAGCCCAGGTATTTCCCCGTATGTAAAATACCGTTGTGGTATTTACCGACGGGAAATCACCGCCGGGGAATCACCGATGAGGAATCACCACAGCGTTTCGTTTAGTAATTCCTCGAATGTTATGAGTTATGATTTCCGACCGGTTTGTTGGCACAATTTGGTGTTCGTACATTTTAATATATTTTGAAGCATATTTTATAGGTACAATCGGAAGGTATTGTAAAAGTAATATATTTGTTTCTTAGTTTATTCTGTATCTCTCGTTTATTTTTTGTCCCTGCTGCTTAAAATTGTCTTACAGAGTTCAGAATTCCCTAGATTTTGTACAAATGTAAATAAATTTCCCTTTTTTCACAAAGCTTGCTCGTAATTCCGTAGATATGGGGAAATTTTCCTAGGTCTGGTAACACTGGGCTACCGGCCTGCCCTTCACGATCGTCTTCCGTCTGGTCTCGGGAGTTGCCACGTTGTGCAGTATGCAGCGGTAGTTGGGAAAAGGAGATCAACACCTTTATCGCATATATTTTAAGAGTTTAGATTTAGAAAAACCATTCATTAATTTTATTCAAAAATATTTTCAAAGCAAATCTTTTACAATGATAATAAGTAGGAAAATGTCAGAAGACATAATTGATACAGATGAGCAACAAATAAAATTAAGTTATACCATGAAACAAAAACGAGTCATAGAGGTATAAACGAGAATGTATTAGCAACTAAGGAACATTTTTATTGGCCAGATATAGATGTTAGCAATTATGTCAATTCTTGCGACATCTCTCAAAAATCTAAATATGAAAGGCATCCTAATGAGTTAATTTTTAAGCCAACCTCTATAGGCTCTGAACCTTTTGAGCAGCTATATATAGACCCCTTTAAAATTTCTAATCAATATTTCGTTACAGTTACTGATAGTTTTTCAAAATTTTCACGAGCATTTCTCGCTACTTCACTAAATGCAATTGAAACCACTAGTGCAATGATTCAATTCTTCTCATATTTTGGCATCCCACAAAAAATCACTTGTGATAATGGAACTGAATGGAAAAACAATATTTTACAAGATCTCTGCAGTATGTATGACATCACTCTTCATTATACTACAGCTTATAATCCGAATAGTATCTAATAGTCCAGTTGAGATATTTCATTCCACTCTTCATTATACTACAGCTTATAATCCGAATAGTATCTAATAGTCCAGTTGAGAGATTTCATTCCACTATTATAGAAACAATCAGGACTTTAAGAGAGGAAAAACATCATCAAAACATTAGAGATCTCATGAACTATGCAATACTATCTTACAATAACAGTATTCACTCCTCAACCGATTTTACCCCTTTCCAAATTGCTAAAGGACAGCTAGATTTCACAAATCTTTTCGAGACAACGACACTTTCATGACGGATAATTCTCAAATTCTTAAACTTTGATCGCAACAATTGTCAGAAAACTTAGAACGTAACCAAAGACAGAATTTAGAAAGAAAAAATAGACATATAAAACGCTCACTTTCGATTGATGTTAAGCAACCACTGTATTCTGTTAATAATTCCAAAACTAAGAAAGATCAACTACTTTACTAGTTACCGACGATTTTGAAGTTGTATCAAAAAATAAAGTCACTGATCAGAGACAGCTTAAACCTCAACGGAAAATCATAGTTATAGGTATAGTATTTCCAATTCTAGTTGGAAACTCATAAAAACCAGAGCGGCCGACATCTCAAAGGAATATCTGTCATAGGCGTCACATTTTATACAGAAAAATAAGGTTCAATACCAAAGTAGGTTTATTTGTAAACGACTGGTTTTGTATTGGTGGGTGATTGTTGAGTGATAAATAGCTTAGGGTGGTTCTTCAGACTGCTATAGCGGTAGCATAATGTAAACACAATCAGTCAATTACGAGTTCTAGATTCTTCTTCATGTGCCGTACCAGAATCATCCGACGTTGGCGATCACCATAGAGAAGGCTTCACGGTCTTCTGCCATATGGAACAGTTGTCCTGCATTTCGGATACATCTGCACTGTAAAAGTACAAGTACTACAGGTATAATCATTATTTTCGATTTGGTTACCAATTTTCTGTTTGTTCTTATGTCGATTCAATGTCAATTTGAAAATTCACCTCTATTTTCGATTGAATCATAAAATTTAGAACATATATACAAGAAATACCTACCTATTTGCAATAATTTTAATAGTTTTACCTTTCATTCTCACGAAAGCTAAAATATCTTTCTTTTTAGTACTTTTAGAAGGTATTTAATGAAGGACCCTTGATGGTATGAGGCATTGTTCATTACCACTATAGCATATCTGGTATAAGCTGCCCGATGAACCATTTTTCAAACAAGTCTGCGGTCATGTCCTGATGGTAATCAGCAGAAGATTGCAGTTGCGACGCGTGACTTTTTCGAAACTGTTATCAAAACCAGATGCGAAAAATCTTATTAAAAAAGGTTTATTTTGACCCTCCCAGATATAAGTTTTTGCTTATTTTAGGTATTGTATTTAAACATTTTTTAAATTAAGGTAAAATTGCTGGACTGGGCGTCTGGGGCACTTGATATACCTCATCGTCTTATGCTATGGCTCATCCAAGCCTTCCGAAAAACAGTAGACGTTTCTAGATGTTCGGAAATTTTTGTATCATTTTTGGCAATTAATGTTAACAATTCCCAGTCATTTCCTCTATTGTCAGAGTCATCCCCTTCAAAATGACCCCAAAATGGTAATTCTTGTTTGACCAAAAAACATACAGCATCTACAAGTGTGCTGCCTAAAAGCTTGGTTAAGACAACTTTCGATTCTTGTTTTGCCAAACTGAATCAAAATGGCTACACATCTTACATGTAAAGGAGATATTTCATGTCTCCTCTTTAGAACCCTAAAACTCTTCAAATCGTTGCTGGTCCACCCATTTACTGTAAAAAACAGAAGACATGGCCAACAATACAATCTGTTTTTCTTGCAACCACTTAACCAAGAGTTTTCAATATACCAACTAAATTTAAAATATCGAACTACTTTTTTTGATTTCTTTTAAAAATTATCTAAAATAAGTGTAATTATACAAGGAGAATGACTTTTCAAGTAGTTAATCGATTACGCAGCGACACTCATCCATGTTTAATTGCACGCACACTATAGCCGGCAGCCAAAACGATTACTAACGAGGGAGAAATGGTAACAAGTCCACATAATAGTCGCGGCGGCTCAAGCACTTGGGCGTCCGCGATCAGACACGAGCCGCCTCCGACGGTCCCCGACGGACTATCAAGTGTATCCATAAACGAAAATGGTAACAACCGACAACCAAGTCGAGGCGAGGCTTCATCGCGTTCGCAAAATCTAGTCAGTATTATAGGGCGCATTATTTTCGTGGGGCTAATCTGCTATTTACTAAATTACTAGTACATATTGCTGTTGGTAAACAAATAAATGAAATTATTTCATAGAACTTAGTCACAAATTATTTAGTTTTAATATTTTTAACTGTTACCAATGGTAACAATGGTTACATGGACGCTTCGCCACTGGAAGATTGTGCTATATTTTTTGCTGATAATAATAGGACATTGGGTACAAAACCAGCTTTGCTTCCAGCATGGAGAATAATAATACGTTTCCCCCTCGAACAAGCAGCATTCACGGTGCAATCCTGGAAACCGTCTACCCAACCATATCGGACATCATGAGTGTCCAACCAAGTTTCATCCAGATATATTATTCGTCTGTTCTGCTCACGATATTTTCTAATACTTAAATAACCTTCTCGCAGTTTCACTATGCGCCTTGATTCCATGATTGCCATTTGATGGTATTTACAATCAGGACAATTTATTAATTTTTTTTAATCATTTCCAGGGTTGGCACTACATTTTCCTTATAGAAAGTATAAATAGTATTACGAATAACTATTATATCGCTCTCATCAATATTCTTGAATCTTTCTTTCCTTTGTTTTCGTTTCATGTTATGATCTGTGACATCCTCTTATTTATTATTCGACGAATTGATGATTCCGATATTTTAGTAAGCTGATGTATCCGGTTAATTATTTTATATTTCGGATTTCCCACATTTTCTCTATTCAAACATTCATAAATATTTAAAATTACTCTTTGGCACTGTACATGTAAGTGTTTATTTTTAAACTTCGAATCCTCATCGATACAATTCGGTTCTATAATATTTTCAACACCGTCCGTCTCGAATGGTCTTCAAAAAGCCACGTTTCCGCCAATGCGCCACGTGACGCAGCGCACGGCTCTACTAACACTGAACTGACTGTGGGTGGTTTCGGTTAACAGACTTAGACTTCTCTGTTCAGGCTCGTGGACGGCGAATACAGTATCTCTGTACTTTTTTAGTTTGATGTTGGAAGTAGTCTCGGACACCACTGCTGCTGAGCTATTGCACAATCGTAAATATCAGTTTTTTGAGCAATGCTAGTAGTTTCGTGTTTTTTAATTAGAATTGGATGGATGTATATTTTTACCCATGAAGACAAATGTAAAACATCGGATTTTGAACAAATTCCAGGATGTATAGCGGAGACATAATACTTAATAAATCAGTACAAATATAATCCACAAATTTTGAACAACGCTATCTGAACCATAAATTAACGCGGCGCACTATCCGAGTATTTTACTACTGCTCTGGAGTCATAAATCATTCAAGCAAAAAACTAGCCGGTTAGAATGCTTCGAATGACCCGGACAACTGACACACCAGTCGAGATAGTTGCTATTCAAAATAATCTTTTTATTTCTTCGATATTCTCAGCCGTCCCGATCAGCGCTGCATTTGAGCTACTGCAGCAAATATACCAGTGGTATACTGGATGAAATTTGGTGAGCTCTATCCTGGTACAATGTATTTGCATGTGATTTCAAAATTCTTTACGTGACCCTGGTAGATTTGTTATTTTCAATTAGAACTGGATGGACTGTAA